GATGGTCTTAAAGGTGCAGCTCTTCCAGAATGTGCGTGGGTTGCCTCTGGTACTGAGTTTTCTGACAAGTGTTTCACAACCAGCAGAAGTCCCACGGTAACACTGTCAAGGACAGAAGAGGCTCACACAGCCCCATGCAGGGCTTCCCCACCACCTGGCTCTGTCTCCCATGAAGAACCAGGGAGATCGTGGAAGCCACATTCCCAGGGCACGCTTCACTGAGAATCCATCCTCTGGGTTCATCACAATAAACAGCAAAGCCTATGGGATGTGTAGAATGGGGGCTCATCCCCCCAAGACTCCGACCTCTGCAGGCCCCCCTCCAGCTCAGGGCCTGCAGATGCAGCAGCCCAGGGAGGGAAAATGGGTTTCCTCAACCCTGGAAATGACCACGTGGAGGGCGTGGATCAATTACTGATGTCTGCAGTAAAGGAAGGTGGAAGCATGTTTGTTACTCCTGAAGTAGGTTCAGGCGCACGTAGGAAAGCCTGTCTGTGTGTTTTAACTTGCATCTTCTAGGTAGATGGTCATCTGCAGATGCTGCAGGTCCACACATCGCTATGGGGAATTGGATGTATGCATGGATTTATATGAACAGTCAAGGAACCAACAAGCCTCTTTTCCCAGCCATTTTAGGTCCTGGAGATTGGTGGAAAAAGACAAAACCTTTATCTCTATTTAGATTTTGATCACAACATTTATGATCATTGACTTACACTCATCAACATAAACTATAAGGATGACCAATATCAAAGACACCCTCATCAACATCACTGTCAACATCATGGTCACCATAACCACCACCTTCACCATCACCATCACCTTCACCATCACCATCACCACCTTCACCATCACCTCCACCACCACCTTCACCTTCACCTTCAACATCACCATCACTATCTTCATCATCACTATCATCACCACCTCCACCATTACCTCCTCCAACCCCATCACCACCACCACTTTCACCACCACCACCATCACCACCACTTTCACCACCACCTTCACCATCAACATCACCATCATCATTAACAATATCACCACAATCATCACTATCAACAGCAAACATCACCCTTATCATCACCACCACCATCAATATCATGATCACAGTAACAGCAGCTCGTACTTATATGGGATGTCCTATGTGCCAGGTGATGTTAAAGTATTGTTAATACATTAGCTCATTTAACCCTCAGGAAGCAGGAACTAGTAGCATGTCCATTTTACGAATAAACAAATGGAGCTTAAGTAAGTTGCCCAGGCTACCCAGCCCAGATTTGAACCTATGCAGTCTGGCTCTGAGTCCATGCTTTACCTTCTCTCTTTTAGCTGAATAAGGACTGTGCATTCCTCTTCTTGGAGCAAAAAGGGACACATGGTCATAATCACATATAGACACAGCGTGGAGAAATGGCCCACCACACCTGGGCTCTTGTCCCAACCCCATTAGACCTCCACCCTCACTGGCCTCCATTTTCCCATCTGTAAAGCAAGGAGATGAGCATCTAGGTGGTCTCCAAGGCCCTGGAAGTCTCTGCACAGTCCTCCAGGGGAAGCCAGAGAGGGTTCTGGTGGTCCTTGGGGAAGGCTCGAGCAGGATGTGTCAGTACCAACTGAGAACTCTGGGTGGTCCCCAGGAATGAGAATACCTCATGTAAGTAAGATAGGGTCCACTCAGGACTCTGGAACCCACACTAGCATGTGGGGGTTCACTCATGAGGGTTTAGGGAGCAAGTGACCAAATGGCATCCTGCTCTTTGTTCCTAACAGTCATTCTATGTACCATTGATGAGGCCGATCAACAGGCACGGGTGCACCCCTGGTATTATCCTAAACCTGCTAACAAGAATGTCCACGGATAAATAACTTCAGTCCGTACAACACCACGAGCCGACAAGCTCCTGCAGGGCAGGAACAGACAGGACCATGACCATCACCTCTGTTGCATGCAGGATTTCAAAGGTCTTCCTTGTTCCTAATTGCAGCAGAGCCTGTGACCTCTTTGAGAAGTAGTGGGAACAGAGGATGGTGGTGGTGGTAGTGACATCTTCATCTGCATATTGAGCACATACTGTATACTGATGCCCATGGGGAGCCAGGTTGCGAGGCAGGCGGGTCCCAGTATACCGTACTGCATCTCAGTCTCCAGGACCAGCTGTGGCAGGGAGTATTTTAGGCCCCCCAAAACTAAAGGAGAAACAGGCTTGGGGAGGACAAGCCACCCCCTAAATGTCCACTTCAGAGGTGGCTGCAGCCATCTCTCCATGCAGAGGCCAGGCCTCTCCCAGCTCTTGTGCATGACACAGGGTCAAGTCGACATGGCAGGAAGGAGACCCCCAGACACCCTGTGCTCCATGCTTCTCAGCCAACACTTGCTCTCACAGGCGACTGGTCCAGGAAGAGCTCCAGCCTGGGCCATCGAGAGCCAACTCAGACCAACACATCCAGCATGCCCATGCTGTGCCAGGCTCTGCCCCAGGAGCTGGAGGCACAGGACAGACATGCCAGGCTCTCTGTAGCTGAGGAGCTCACCGTGAGCTGAGTCTGACAGCTTCCGTGTGGGGATGTCACATGCTTGGTTCACTGGGGAGCAAGACGCACCATTATAACCCAGAGTCAGAACAGCAATGACGGGACGCCTAGGGGCCTCCGGGAAGCTAATGGGTACTTACTGCATGGTGTGAGAGAGAGAGAGAGAGAGAGAGAGAGTGTGTGTGTGTGTGTGTGTGTGCACGCACACAGGAACACACACGTGTGTAACAGAGAGAGAGGAGGTTATCAGGGAAGGTTTCCTGGAGGAGGTAAATTAAAGAATGATCCACCTTTAGATTTATCCTGGACACAAAAAGAGGACAGGAGCTTTGGCAGGAGGAGAGAAACAGGGACTCGGAAACACGGACGATCCCAGCGCGTGAGTGTTGGGGCTTTGAGGTTTCGGGAAGTGAAGGGCAGAGGCTGGAGCCCTGGAGAGGCATTGTAGCTCCAGAAGCAAGGCACAGCCTCCTCCTCACATCAGAGGGGCAACCTGACCTCCTCCCTCCTCCCCAGGAGGAACGAGGCCCACAAGGTCAACAAGAGCCGGAGCTGGAGTCGGACCCCTAGCTCAGGCCGGGGGTCGGGTGGGGAGTTCAACTGGACTCCGAAAGGCTTCAGGGGAATAAGCGAGAGGAAGAAATGTGGGTCTCAGAGCAGGGAGGGACGGCAGCTTAGGGTCTAGGCTGGGAGAGGAAGAGGCCCGGTCAGTGGCGTAAGGTGGGAAGAGACCATGGGTGTTGGGGGTGCCAACCATGGCCTTCCTTTTGCAGGGCACTGGGTCTGGGGTGCCCAGCAGAGAGTCAGAAAGTGGTCACACCAAGCTACACATTGGAACCACTGAGCTAACCTCCAGGCCCTGCCAGCAGCTGGGCAGCCCATCCCTCTCACTTCTTGCTCGTGACCTGCTTTCCCTGCTGTCAGCCTGGCATTGTCCACAGTTCGGTGGGAAGGCACCAGCTTCCCCTCTTCAGCTTCTGGGCCCCGAGTAAGCCAGGGATTTGCCCAAACCAGGCTTGATCCAGGAAGACCTCATCTGCCCAACACTCAGCCTTGAGCAGATGCTCAATAAATGAGATGGATAAACAACCTCAGCATCTGAAGGTGGCATTGCCACGTCCTTTAAAACTTTGGCCTCTGCAGAGTCTGGCACAGAAAGAGTAGCACCCGTCATTTTCACTAGCGTGTTCCTGACACAAACCTCACACTTTGAAAGGCCAAGCTGGCAGGGTTCGGGGAGAAGAAAATGAGACACTAGAGACTGGCTGAGTGGGAATTAGAAGGCCTGGATTTCAGTCCTTGCCGTCACTATGAAACTTGGGGACATTGTCAAAGATGCCTCTTTCCTCATCTGTACGACGGCAGCGGACAGGGAGGATTTGGGTCAGTGACTTCACATCAGGTGTGGCAAGAGCTGCTTCCAGCACCTGCACGCCAGGCCAAGCTCTGCCCTAGACCCATGGTCAGGGTGGCCCCACAGACCCTCATGGTGATGGTAAAGGTTCCATCTGCCCCAGAGAGCCCTGGTTCCCGACACCACCAAGGCTGGGCCTTTTTTTTTTGGTCCTAGGGATTGAACCCTGAGGCGCTTAATCACTGAGCCTCATCCCCAGCCCTTTTTATTCACTTATTTATTTTTTAAAAAGTTTATTTATTTATTTATTTCAGTTATAGGTAGACACAATACCTTTATTTATTTTATTTTTTTATGTGGTGCTAGGCAAGCGCTGTACCTCTGAGCCACAACCCCAGCCCATTTATTTACTTTTTATTTTTGAGACAGGGTCTTGCCAGGTTTCTCGGGCCTTGCCAAGTTGCCAGTGCTGGTTTTGAACTTGCCATCCTCCTGCCTTAGCCTCCCCAGCTGCTGGGATTCCAGGCGTGCGTCACCGTGCCCAGCTCAGGCTGCTGGCTCAAGGGGAGCCAGTTTCTAGTGCCAGATATTCAAACCAGCACCCCCAGGCAGGGAGGAGAGGCTGGACAGACAGACAAACGGCACAATCCATAGTCTCTGCCCAAGCCCGGCAGCCTGAGCCAGGAGACCTGAGCCAGTTCCCAGCTGTGGAGGGCTCTGCGGTCCCTGGAGGGAGCTCCAGGCCATGCAGGTGGTTTTGGTTTGGAGTTAGGAGGAGTGGGGACCCTAGGCTCTTCTCACCCCACATCTAGTTAGGGACAGATATTAAATCAATATAAGATGCTTCCCCTTGATTTCTTTCAAAAAAAACAAAAGTCTAAAACCGGGTGAGAATCAGGCACCCTGTGTCTCCAACTTCCACCCCCAACCCCCCTCCCCCCAGGAAGCAGCCTGCATTCCAGGGAGGAGAAGGCTGAGAGGAGGCTGGGTGTCCGTGCCCATGGCAGCAGGGCTGTGGGCTCAGTCCTGGCTGGCATTATGGGGGGTGGACATCTGCCACCGACTTTGTCCCTGGCAGGCACAGGGTCTGGCTGGGAGGGCTGGGCAGACTCACCTTCACACTGCCTGCCTTCCCCCTTGTAGCCTGGCTTGCAGAGGCATTTGTAGGACTTGGGTGTGTTCTGGCAGATGGCGTCGATGTGGCAGTCATCTGTTCCCTCTGAGCACTCGTCTATGTCCACTGTCCCTGTGGGTGGAGGAGCAACAGGTAAGTGTGGTTGGGTAAGCAGCAGCCCCTGGTGGTGGCGGGAGCTCCTGCCCCAGCCCTTCTTCTGATCACTGAGGTAACTGACAATCACAGTTGCCACATGACAATCTGGTAACATCCTGGGAAGCTGCTCTGGGCCAGGCATACGGCTACCAACATATTAGGGATCACTGATTTTCATGATAAAAAGATGGGGAAATTGAGGATTAGGGACAACTTGAGGATCTTTGTGTGTCTTGCTCTCCCCACAAACATGACTCCAATCCTCTTCCACTCTCCTTATTCTAGAATTTAGAGCCAGAAGGGCCCTTGGAGGAGTTCAAATCCCCCAGATGGGGAAACCAACGTGGGAGAGCAGAGAGCAGAGACCATCCCAAGAACTCCTGCAGGGGATGTGACACCGAATCCCACCAGCTGTAGCCTATGGGCTACTTATCTGGCTTCCACACTCCCAGACTGGAGTCCAGACTGGGGCAGAACTGATGTTTAACTAGGCTAACCCAGGCTAGTAGATGCTTCTGATCCCCATACCCTCTTCCCTTCCTCAAAAACCTAGGTGGGAAACTGGTTCTTGCAACCCGATTTCAGATTCAAGTTCAGCCTGGGTTCAGAGAACTCCTGGCACTCCCCACCTCAGCCCTCAAGGCACACACACACCTCGTCAGGAACATGATGCAAAACAGCTCCCGTGTATGCACTTGAACACACTTTCTCACACACACAAGGAGAGGATCCCGGGGCACAGGCAATTTCTTGGGTTTAGATGAGGGAGGGGCCAGAGCACCCAGCATGGTGCTATAGGTTACTTGCTCCTTAGGGGAGAGACTAGACTCTGACATAGAACAAGCTCACCTGGCTTGTTCACCCAGCTGGCTATGAGAAAATACAGATGGAAGGCAGACAACAGAAGGACCCAGGAAAGCCAGAGAAAGGGTAGAATATCCCTGCCTCTTCATGCCTCTGGACTCACCCTAGATTTTCTGGTCCCCCAAAATGCCCACTTTGAATTACTTCCCTGGCTGGCATTTGGATTCTAAATCTGCAGGTAGGGGGTCCCTGAGCTATTCCCCCTCCCCCTGCAGGACTCCTTTTCTTCAACCCCAGCCCCCAAGGTTCCAGCACACCCCTGGGACAAGAGAGGCATCAAACCAAAACACAACAGAATGACCTCATGCGCATGCACGCGCGCGCGCACACACACACACACACGCGTGCGCATGCACGCGCGCGCGCACACACACACACACACGCGTGCACACACACACGCGTGCACACACACACACACACACAGAGGCATTGCTTCTGAGGGTGGCAGGATCTGCTGAGGTGGCAACCCACCCTTCACAGCTGCCCCAGGGAAGTAGGAAAGGGAGCTGGTAGGCAATCACAGGCCAGGGCCAATGTCCAGGGCCACTTCTGGGAGCAGTCAAACAGGGGCATCAGGCCACGGGTATGGCTCTTCCTGCTTCCCAAGGGTGAGTGTATGGGAATGAGGGACAGGAAACTGCCCGGGGCTCTTGGGCCTGGTGCCCACCTCTAACCCCCATCTCCCACCTGGGCATGCATCCTCATCAGGATGAGAACAGATGCATGTTGGCAAGGGGTGGGTGGGGCTGTCTGCCAACACACCACATAACAAACATGACCTTAGGTGGGAGATGAGGAGAGAGCAGGAGAGCCCAGGTCAGGGCTTTCTGCGCACAAAGCTACGTACTCTGCCTGACCTGGGTGGCAGAACCCTGTGCAGGGCAACTTGCCCTCCAGCACAGGCTGCTCACTTTGATTACGGTTCTCTTATGCTGGGGACCAACTGCTGGGATTTCAGTCACTGGGCTTCCATGGAGGGGAGAAGAGGGCCACAGACAGGACACAGAGGAAGACAGAGAGACACCAGAAGGGAAAGATGGGTACAAGGGAATGGTCCCACAGGGGCATTGGACTCCAAAACCGGAGAGAGACCCCCACATACATGTAGGGGCATGGGCAACAAAGCCCAGCTTCTGGAAGATGGGTCCGTGGGAAAAGCTCCCTCCAGCTGTGGAACGTAAATGTCTGGCACCCTCATGCAGGGTGTCACTCCCAGGAAGAGACCCCACACCAAAGACATTTCTCATGGAACCCAGTTCCATGCACAGGAGGCACAGGAAGCAGGGCAGGCAAGACCCTTCCCCAGGGAGAGAGCCCCTCTGAAGACCCAAGGAGAGAATGTGACTCCAGCCTTGCCTGAGAGCCCCTTTCAGGCAACCAGAGAGGACCAGAAGACAGGGAGGGAGGCAGAGTCCCTATGAAGTCCACTTGGCACCCCACCTCACCTCCGCTGCCTGCCTGACCGCCCTGACCATGGCCACTCCCTCCTGTGTCTCCTGCCTCTCTTTACAGATGTCCTCATCACTGAGGTCCATGTCAGTCTCCCTCTGGGTCCCATTCACCTTCCCGTGCCTGTGGTCTGCTCTGGGTGCATTCTCATTCCTCTCTTCTCTCCTTCCCCACTGTCCATATGTCTGTCTTGCCAGGCATCTCCATCCTTGCTCTTTCCCTGTCCTTCCCAGTGTGCCTCCCTTCCCGTCCTCCTGTCGCTTTCTCTGGTGTCCATCTGTCTCCACCTCTCCTCCTTTTCCGTCGGGTAGTCCATGCCACAGTCAGCTCCTTTGATCTGTCTATGTCCCTTTGCCTCCTTCTCCCTCCCTTGGCTTCCCTCCTTTCCCCTGGGACGTTAGGCTCCCTCTTCGACCCTTCTGTGTCTTTCTCTGGGCTTCGCCCTGTGTCCTTTTGTCTGTTCCCTCTAAACCCCCTTTACTGTCCGTCTGTCCCTCTATCCCCTCCCTCTTTCTGTCCATTCTTTTCCCCTCATTCACCTCCTCCCGTCTCCTCGCCGGCCTCCCTTCGGCCCGCTCCCCTCTTCCCTGGGGAGCCCCTTCTCAGCTCCGGGGTCCCCGCCCCACTTCGGTCCGCACGCAGGGTGCCCCTCGGCCAGCCACCGCGCTTTCTTTCTTCCTCCCGCCCCACGCTTCCCCTCCCCGGGCCTCAGCCCACCCCGCCCCTGCTGCGGCCCCCTCTGGGCTCCAGGAGCCCCGGACCAGCCCGGCTGCGGGGAGGGGGCGCCCCGGGTCGGCCTCAGAAGTTACTTTGCAGAGAGGCACAGAGGGCGCGGGGCGGCGCGGGCCGCGGCCTCCGACGGCGCGGGTGGGGGCCCGCTGGGACCGCGCCTCCGCCCCCCCCCCCGCCCCGGCGCCCGCCGTCCCCCGGCCCGGCGCTTACCTGGGAGCCCGCTGCCCCCCGCCAGCGGCCCGCGCGTGCCCAGGGCGAGCAGCACGCACAAGTGCCAGCGCACCTCCGCCGCGCCCATGATCGCTGCGGGCCGGGCCGGGCCGGGCGTGCGGGCGTGCCGGGCGCGGGACCCACCGACCGGCCGCTCCGCGAGCGCTCCTAGCTGCTCGCTGTTCGGCCACCGCTCGGGCTCCCGAGCCACCGAGCCGGCGGCTGACGAGCTGACAGCCGTGCGCTCATTGGCCCGCGGCCCCAGGGGGCGGGGCGTCTCGCGAGGACGGCCAATGGGCGTGGGGCGCCGGCCCTCGGGGGCGTGGCGGGCGGGGGCGGGCGGGGGCGTCCGGAGCCGCCCCTCCCCTCGGGGCGGGCGGCAGGTGGGGGGTGGGGGCCTGGAGCCTGCTTGCGGGTTGTGGGTGCGGGGTCTCTGCCCAGCCTCGTTCGGAGGCTGCAGGCTCTTGGGCCCCTACCCCTAGTCCCCGTCGTCCAGGGTGGCCGCCCCTCTGGGGGCAGCACCCTCCTCTCCCAGCTCTCGCACGCCGGAGCGAGTGGGGGTCTTTCGAACAGGTCGCGAAGGGCCCCGCGGCGTTCTTTAGCGGTGAAAGCAATGCCTTGTCCGCGGGGCCATTCTGGCGACCTTTACTGAGCACCTACTGGGTGCCAAGCGCTGCCCAGGCAGCATCGAACAAGCTGGACTTGGAAAAACTCGCGGAGATGGTTTCAAAATTTACCTTCAAAGCAAATGAACTTTCTACCACTCTCCAAAGGGCAATGATTCTTAAGTGTGCTTGTCATGGGACAGCCGCACGACCCCCGCGACAACACGGTGGCTGACAGGCTGCTTGCATTTAGCCCGCAAGGCACCGCCACCGTGCAGGGCTGTCCTGGCCAGCGAGGCTTGCTATCGGCCAATGCCAGGCCTGGGCCTCCCAGTGACAAGCCCGGCGGGGCGGTAGCCAAGGCGGGAGGGGCATCATAGCTGCTTGGGTCTGCCCTGGGGTCTCCACCTGACGCCCTCGGCCTTGGAGCCTGGCGCGGACCGCCCGCGAGGCGCTGTTGGAAATAAATGGCCCCTCTCAGCTCCAGGCAGGACGCTAAAAGGGAAGAAAGTTCAGCAAACCCCAAGGCCCATCTCCTTGACAACCACCAATAAGAGCTCCTTTTTTCTTCTCCTGCTCTCCCGGCTCGACTCAAAGACAAGACTTCTCTTTTTGTCCACTGGGCCTGCACCAGTTTCACCCCATGTTGCCCCCCACACCAGCTCTCCTCCCTGCCCCTGCGCACACCCTCCCGCACACACTCACACACACACCCTCTCGCACACACTCACACACACACCCTCTAGGCATCTCCTCAGCCTGGAAATCTAAATCTGTGTCCTGCCAGCTCTTGCTCCCACCTGGCTTAGCACCAGCTTCCGGCACTGGCCCTGTGCCTGAGGCTCGTCATATCCCAGGTGAGGGGACCAGAAAGGATCAGAGAGGCAGGAAGCACTGCTTCTGGTCTCCACTAAGCCCCAGTTCCACCCCATCACTTCACACTTTCCTTTGGCGTGGTCACTCCCGACTGGTGCTTTAATTGTGGAGACCCTGCTCCAGGGTTTTATTTTGTATGGCTTTGGCTTTCTCCCCCAGAACCACCTATTATCTTGTGCATGGGACAATGAATGTGTTTTGAGGGGCCTTTCAGAGACCCCTGACTTACTAGAAATAATGCTCTTTTATGTGCCTGTTCATCAGGGGTTCTCACCCTGGGCCAGGTCCCCCAAGCTTGATAGCAGCAAGGAAACCTCCCAGGCTCTGTCTCCCCAAATCAAGGCAGAGGTGGTGACAGGTGATGGCCTTTTTGACTGTGACCCCACAGCCCAGGGGGGCCTCTCACCCATACGAAGTTCTCATCCCCAGCCTGCCCCCAAGTAATTGCTCAGGTCAGGTGTGCTAGTGAGCTAGCCTCCTCTGAGGTGTGTGGATGGAGAATAAGTGGTTCCTTCTAGAAGGAGATGTGGTCCATGTGGCAGAGTTAGGAGACTGGGGCTGAGGGGTGTGAAGACACACCTCTAAGTCCCTCAGGCATGCTCTCTAGGAAGTGGCTTACGGGACACAGAGAGAGGAGGTCACTTCTACCCCAGGAGGCAGTCAGAGAGGCCTGGAGCTGGGCACTAAGCAGTGTGGGGGGGGGTTCCTGATGGACGAGGAAGGGTAGATGGAGAGAAGGTGAAGACCAAGCAAGAAAGTGAGTAAGCGAATGTTCCGGAAGCACCAAAGCTGTAGCGCACTGTGCAGCAGGTGACAGTACCCTGATGGAGGGCTGAAGTGTCTGTACCGGGGTGAGGTGGGGGGTGGGGTGAGAACGGGAATGCCAGGACCCCAGCTGGGGAGCTCCTGCCCCTGGATCAGAGAGCCTGAGAGGCTGAGCCAGGAGAGTGGAGGCCAGAGGGCGAGCCTCCCTGACTTCAGGGGAAACACCCGTGGCCGCCATCACCTTCCAAAAGAACAGGGGCTCTCTGCAACCAAGAGCTCTTTGCAAACAAGGCTCCTGCCCCTCCTCCACAGTCTTGGCCTTGGTAAATCTCGGACAAAGAGAGCCCCGCAGAGGTCCTGCCCTTCACACCAGCCTGAAGGCCCCCTCTGCCAGGAGTCTCTTTTGTTCCCTCTTCACAAGGCTCAGCCCCAGCTGCCTGCTTCCCAGTCCCTGCCCCCCAGCTGGATGTGGGTTCTCCTCGGGGCTCCTGGAGACCCCTGGACTCCCTCATTAGAGCCCCCTCACCCTGGGTTCACCTCTGTCTCTTCCCAGACTTGGGGTGCTCCAGGGGCAGGGCTCTCGGCTGATCTGTAGGGGCCACTCCCCACAGCAGGCATTTAAGAAACCATCCCGTGGGAATGAATGGAAGGAAGAAAACGAGGGGGACGTCAGTTAGCGGGAATTCTTACTGCTCCGCGGAAAGATTCTGGGGCTATTTGACAAGCCCTTGTAACGGGAGTCCAGGTGCCCAGTATCTCCTGGCCACTTCTGCTCTCTGCGCCCTGTGGGAAGCTGAGCCAGGCAGCGGGACTTCAGGCAGTGGGTGCCCAGAGCCGACGACCTGGGGCCCTTTGGCTCCCCCTGGTGACGCCTTGCACAGGTCTGAGGAGGAGAGGAGGGAAGAGATCAGCTTGTCACCTCTTCCTTCCTTCCAGGGATGCCCTCTGCAACCCTGACCCCAGCGACTGACCCCAGTCCCAGCAGTGGGGAAGCCATAGAAGTTGCATTCAAAAGGTGAGTGCATATTCGATCTGTTCAATCACTTACCACCCCTGTGGGGCTCAGTTGCCTCCTCTGCACAACTAACCTGGAGAGTTATCTGAAAGATTAATCACAGGCTGAATGGCGTGGGACCTCTCTGAACCTCAGTTTCCTCATCAGACTGCTGCTACTGTCTTGTAGGGAGGATTAAATGAGATACTGAGCCCGGAGCCTCAGAACCATGCCTGGCACATGTGTCATCCGTGTGTCCTCTGGGATCATCCTGAATAGACGATTGCTGTGACGATAGATGATAGTAATACCCAGCTGGTTAAGAATGCCTTAGTTAAAAAAAAAAAATTCCCCTGGAAAAATCCTCTTGAGCAGTAAGTCATGAAAGTTCTTTGAGAACATGAAGTTCCTTGTGAGTGCAGAACTTCATCACGTGGATGTTAAGCCTCAGTCTTGAAGAATTTAGACTTTCATCCTCTTTTTTTTCAATGAAAAATGAAATTGCGTCACACCCCTTGGCGGCTGGGCTGCACACTTCTTTAGACCTTTGATGGTGTTCGTATTTTTCCAACCCCTAGGTGACCCTAGGCCACACACACAGTCCCTTTCCTTGGCTTGGACTGTCAAATGGGGGTCTCAGCTCCCATGAGCTCATGATCCACACTCCAAAATGACCCCCCTGAATTGCGACACTGTCTCCTGAGCTGTCACCCTGGCCTCTTCCTGGGGTGTTTCACAGGTGTTAAGTGTCCCTGCGTGCCTCGTGCTGTGCTGGGATGTCCTGTGCCCTGTGTCATTTACTCTTGTGAGGTACAAACCACCTCCATCCCCTCTTGACACGGAGGAAAACAGGGACTCGGGTCACCTGCCCAGGATCACAGAGCTAGCAAATGGCAGAGGTGGGATTCGCACCCAGACCTGTTAATAAAACACACTTGAGAACTCCAAGGGCTGAGAGGTGTGGAGCTGTTGGGCTCGCCTCTCTGCCAGGGTTTTACTCTTTTTTCTTTTTTCCATATCGAGAAAAGTGGTCTCTAGGTAGTTGCTGAATCGTAACGGGGCGCCCAGGGGCTCCAGGCCATACCCAGTTTTGAGGTCTGACATTCCAAACACTGGAAATGCTGGACTGCCCCCCAACGTGCCAAACCCAGGAGGCCATGAGATGGGGTGACACCAAGAAGCTGCGAACAGAGCTGGAGGACAGTGGCTCCTGAGTGACCTCTAGTCCACCAGGCGCGGGTCCCCTGGTCCTGTGCACTTGTGGAATTGGCTCAGGGCCACGTGGACAGGAATATCTGCAAATGAATCCTGCAGCAGCCCAACCTGTGCTTCTCATTTGACAGAAGGGGACATGGAGGCTTCCCGCAGCTTCCGCTGCCCCTGGACACCTTGACCTGGTGCCCCCGTGGGCCCCGTCAACTCCACCAAGTGGGCCCTCAGCCCCTGGTGCCCAAGACGGAATGTGTTGCCTCTGCTGACTGCACTCTCCACGCCTGCCGAAGCCTCCCGGGTCATGTCTGCTCTCTCCTCGGGCCTCCGGCTTTGTCAGCGGGACACCAGCTCGAGTCCACAGAGGCTCAAACCCACCTGGACCAGGGTGGATCCACTCGAGATCCTCTGAGGCAGGGCCCATGGGCCTCCGCATCCTCCACCCTCTGCCTGGAAAGCGCCACCCTTCTTCTCCCACCTCTGAGCCACAGCTCACTGTTCCCCCCCTTGCAATCTCCCCGCACCCTGTTCCCGGAAAGCCATGAATCAGGCCCAATGCAGGTGCCCTGTCCTCACTGGCCCCAGCCATGCTCTGTCTCACCATTGCCCCATGGACACTGGGGCAGTTTGAAACCTAGAATTACCCCGTAGTGGCTTTACCTCCCCACTAGGCCAGGGCGTGCAGGACATGGGCTACTTAGACATCCTGGTCACCTCGTG